AACACCATCCACCATCCACCGTCCATCCTGAGAGACAGACAAGAGCGCTGACATTTCAATTCATCAACACCTCCAGGAGTTAAAGGAGCTGTCGGTCCGAGCCGCAGGTATGGAGCCCATCGTCAGGACAGTGGAGGCAGCCGATGCTCACTCACAGAGGCAAAACTGGAGGTTTGTGGCGAAGCGGGGAGCCTCGTCACAGTTTGTGGGGAGCACCATCATGGTGTTGTCCACTTACGCTGTTGCTACCCTGACTATGAACTTTGGGAAAAAGATCCAGGAACGAAGATCAAGACCAAACGGCAACTAGCAACCGTGGCCTCACCAAAGACCTGAACCTCTTCTCTGCAACATGAATGTCAGGAAGAGCCGAAATGAACAGAACTTTATTTGCCTAGACTCAAATGGGTCACTTCAACTCATCTCGTCTTTACGCTGCAAGGAAAATCATCAATCATTGTCAGTCAGGACTCCTGTGGAGACTCACTTTGACCAAAAAGACCATAAAATCTGTCTTCAAAGTAAGTGTTTCAATGAAACCTGGGTCCTGGACACTGAAGCTAAATAATGAATGGGCATAAATATGGTGTATGCAGTGCTTCATGTGACCACAGGGTGGAGAACTGGGACTTCCTCAATCCTTTTTTGATTTCCAACAACAAGCCGCAGGATCACTGGAGACTGGATGTGTATGCCAGCTCAACGAGACATCACTGAACACAACCCTTTCAATGCAGAATGGAAATAGAAGATACTGTTATGTGACAGTAGAATTTTTAATACCTGTCTATTGGATGTTTTTTTAATCTTTGTCATAAAATGTTCTTGTAGTTGTGAAAACATGCCTGTGTTACTGTGTGACAGTAGGTTTTAGATGTGTATATGTCATGTTGTTTAAATGTCTGTCATGTAATTGTACAGAAAATGACTTTTTAAAAATCCATGTTGGATCAATCTTTTGAATAAATGGTGAAATATATTCTTGTGTGCAGATTTCTGATTTGAAATGATTAGTTGTAGTGGTGTGGTGGAGGGTATACGCAGGTACACAGGGTATACCCACTTCTTTGTCTGCGCATCTACAATATACCAACCTATCAGCCCATAAGCCATTGGAATATATCCGAGAGTATATCCACTTCCTAGTAGCACACACACCTCATCAACGACCACTACACCACTGAGTAGTTGCTATCTCACACCGTGCGAGACGTGCAAGCATCTGGACAAAAAGGTCACAACAGAGGGTTCTAGATACAAAACGAAGATTTAAAGGGGAAGAGTAGCTCAAACCAGATGGACATACTGTACTTTTATGAACGATTTTTCAATAGAAAAACACAAATCTGAGTACCCATTTATCCAACTGCAAACCTCAGACTCCTGGTGACATTTGGAACATTTCTTCTAAGCAAAAACCGTAATTAGCAACACCAATAATTTGGTATTTGACCAGTGACATTTCTATCAACTTAAAGGTCAATGATTTTGACCTTTCTTTGAGAGTAGCCTCTACACTCCAGTTGTTCCAGTGGTTCCTTGTACCATTAAATGTTACTAAGTGATATAAAATACAGCTGGCTGAGATAAAATGCAGGATAATTTTCCAAGTGACCAGACAGCATCTAATGAGCTAGAGGGGTGTTTCCACATATCAGGATAATCTCAGATGTCCTCGACATTGGATTTTTTATGAAGAGGAAATCAAAGACGATCAAAGTCTCTGACTTTCTTCATATGTTCACCAGGCAATACACCAGTGGTCCCCAACTTATCAGATGTGTTCATCCACTACCAACTGTCATGTTCCATATATGTTTATGGATTATAAACTGGATGTAATTTACAATAACACTGTTAAATACATAAAAATGGATGTTGCTACAGTATTAACTGTTTATTCGTACAATACATAAGGAACACCACTTGAGCCTCAAAAACATGGGAATACTTTTCACCCTCCTTAGATGCTACATATTGTCAATGTATTAGTGACGTCAGGAATCTACAGCTGTTAAGGTTGCACCGCTGATGAATTGCTTCCTCGTATGTACGTAAGTTCTGAAATGGAACGTAATGTAGAGGTGATGTACTGTCTAATTCCTCTGTAATGTCGACGTTGATGCAACGTATGGTACTGTCTGGGAAGCTAGTGAATAATATAAAAACCTCAAAAAGACAAAAACTACGGACCTGTTCTTGAATTATGTAACTAACTATTTAACTATTCAAATGATTTCAACCAGTTGAATAAACAGCTGATTTTTTTTGTTACTGTTAACTATGTATACTAATAATTTCAACATTTGTCCATTACTTTTAGCTAATTGTTAATCTATTACTTTAAGCCAATGATTTTAACTGTTTATCCGTAACTTTTAATTATTTGAACTATCCGTGACTTTTAGCTGACTATTTCAACTGTTTGTCCGTTACTTTTAGCTTACTATTTTAATTATCTATCCATTAACGTTACTTTTAGCAAACTACTTGTTTATCTGATACTTTTAACCAACTATTTCAACTGTTTACCATTACTTTAAGCTAACATTTTCAACAGTTTATGTGTTACTTTTAGCTAACTATTTCAACTGTTTATCTTTTACTTTTAGCTAACGGTAACTATTTCAACTGTTAACCTTTGCTGTAAGCTAATGGTAACTATTTTGACTGTTTGTCTGTTACTTTAAGCTAACGGTAACTATTTCAACTGTTTAT